TCTCTCTCTCTCTCTCTCTCTCTCTCTCTCTCTCTCTCTCTCTCTCTGTGTGTGTGTGTGTGTGTGTGTGTGTATGTGTGTGTACTTCATGTGCTCATATAATAAATATAGTTTTTTCACTCAAAGAACAGAAGAGAAATAATCAACACAAGTGAAATGACGACAAAGTTGTCACACTGATATGATGTCTGATTGACTGACACACTCTAATAATAATCTGAGTAATTTGAACTTGACTTTATTTGAATTGACTAAAATCAGATTTGGATCTGGATCTGTTCTGAACCAAATATGAACTTAAGTTATGATGGATCTGAACTGAATAAACCAATTCCTTAAACAAGATGTATCTGAAACTAAAAAGTGATATTTGCTTCATCTGGCCTTCTACTTCATTTTGGATTTAACAGAACCAACAGAAAAGAACTCCATTAATGAGTTTGGACTCAGTAGAGTATCACTGAGGGTCCTGGGGGAATCTTTGCTCAGAATATGTGGCCTAATTATGTATTTGAAGCCAAACACAGGAAGTGTGTGTCATCGAACAGCGTTTTGTGGAGACATATATAATTTTTTCAAGCTGAACATGCTTCTCATCCACCTACCTCCACCGTTCTTCTGGCACAAGTAGGGAAACCTCCAAACGTTTCCCAGACCCACAGAGAAGCCCACCTGGGCGAGGATGTACTCCAGCTTATTGTTCCACGCGGGCCGACCGTCCTCTGCTTCCTGATCGGGCAGCAGAGACTTTCCCGGGGCTGTAGATCCAGGGCTGAGACCCATACTCATCTGGCTGCTCTTATAGTCCATGGGATGCTCCAGGGACAGAAGGTCAGCCACGGACTCGGTGACCGGCTCATTGCTGTGCTCTCGCTGCGTCACCTTGGTGTTCTTTGGCATGGCTGCTGACACACTGCAGCTCCTTCAGAGGTCTGCGGGGAGGGTCAACGAGGGGCCAGAAGAAGATGGCGTGCAACAGAAGAATGATCAGTGGAGTGAGGGCTCGGAAGATGGCAAGATGGAAAAAATGGTGCTTTTTCTTAAGTCTGTGAGGAGGAATGGAGAGAAATACAGTGCTTAAAATATATATTTTAAAAGCACATCTTTGTAAAAAAGTTACTTAATATAACACTTGAATATTTGTGTGACAGAAACTGTAAGTAAAATAAAGGTGAGAGCTTTCAGACCGTCGTCCAAAAGAATTTTTAAAGTTTGACACAGAAAGACGTTGAATGTTTGGTTTCAGTCACATCTTTTTATGCACTGCTTGTGTCTAACCTACAAAGCCCTCAACAACATAGCTCCATCTTATATTCAAGATCTTATTGCTCCATATGTTTTTAACAGAGCACTTCACTCTCAGACTGCAGGATATCTCGTGGTTCCTAGAGTTTCCAAAAGCAGAATGGGAGGAAGATCTTTCAGTTCTCAGGCTCCTCTCTTGCTGAACCACCTTCCAGTTTCTGTCTGTGAGGCTGACACATTGTCCAGTTTTAAGACTGGGCTTAAGACTTTCCTTTTTGATAAATCCTATAGTTAGGATTGGCTTGTTGTGCTGCCATAGGCTTAGACTACTGTAGGACAAATTGAACTAATTTCTTTAAATTAATTGTTAAAATTGAATACCGTATTTTTCGGCATATAAGTCACATTTATTATACGTCCCCGCTGACCCGTTGCATTTATTATGTGTTAATTTAATGGTCAAAACAGTTTCAATATGCCTGGGAGGTGCGGCATCATCTATCGCAGCCAGAGCCACTAGCTTTTTATTTTTAATATGCTCCATGTCAAAGAGGCTCTCTCTGCAGACTTTGATACATGTGAACGTTTGTTGACTTTCAAAAATAATCAAATCACATTTAGTACTCTGCTGAAACTGATCATTTATTAAAGACCAACTAATCAGCTGCAGCTCCACATCCAAAGCTACTGGGGTGGGCTGTAATTATTTCACTCCAGCCCGTTTGAACCCGAGTGTTTTTAAATGGTGGTTAAAACAAGAAGCACTTGGGAGCCACGAGGAATTTCTGTAATCCACTTCATTGTGGCGGATGAAACTCACAGATTGAATTACAATCCATTTCACAGCAGAGCCTATTATACTGGAGTCGGGTCATGTGAGCAGCATGAACACCAGCGTGCCGTCTGTGTGACTGCCTCTCAGGAGGGTTCAGCCCAATTAAACCAGAGCACAGACTGAATCAGCTATTAGTGTCGTTCGTTCTTATCACTCCACTTCATCTTGTCTGCAGGTCGTTTTATTTCAGGTGCTGAAACGAAACAGCCTCATGCACTTCTGCTTTGAGTTTAATATGGTTTTTTTTTTCAGATATAAATACACAATCCAGTCAGGCTTTGGGGCAAAGTGGTGCTGCACAAGAGTTTCCACATTCATCAGGTCTTATTGCCCTGCATACATGAGGATTTTACATTCATTAACTGATTAAAGCTGTAATCCACTGATGCAGCGCTGCACTCTGAAGGTAGACAAGTAGAACGCCATCGCATTAAAAGCTTGGATTAAACACAACGCAGCTCAAATAATGTTCGGCTGGTTAAAATATAAATAAATCACGGGTTAGTTAAGGTCAATGAAGCATCAAGCAGAGAAGATGCCAAGGTTTTACATATTTTTAAACTAAACAAGTTAAATTAAATTAGCAGTAAATTATAATTACAAATACAAGAAGTTTTGCACAGATTTTCTGCAGAGGTCTCCAACCTGTGGCTCTTTGTAGCTTTAACAAAATCTAAAAAAGTTAAATCTGGTCCTCTGGACATTCAAAAAAACA